TGCCTCATATGCATGTGAAAGCTGGACAATGAATAAGGAAGACCAAAGAAGAATTGATGCCTTTGAATTATGGTGTTGGTGAAGAATATTGAATATACCACGGACTGCCAGAAGAATGAACAAGTCTGCCTTGGAAGAAGTACAACCAGAGAGCTCCTTTGGAAGCAAGGATGGTGAGACTTCATCTCATGTACTTCGGACATGTTATCAGCAGGGACTAGTCCCTGGAGAAGGACATCATAGTTGGTAAGACAGATGCTCAGCGAAAAAGAGGGAGACCCTTGACAAGATGGATTGACACAGTGGCTGCAACAATGGGCTCAAACACAGCAGCAATTGTGAGGATGGTGCAGGACCTGGCAGTGTTTCGTTCTGTTGTGCATGGGATCGCTGTGAGTTGGAACTGACTCAGTGGCACCTAACAACAAGAAGGATGCTTCCACTTCACTCAGGGAATACCTAAAATGTTCTCTGATTTCCCAGGCTAGGTGAGTCCCTCCATTCAGCCCTCACATGGTACCTGGACCTTCTCTCTTAAAGCACTTAACACAAGCGCAAAAACATCTGCCTGAGTTATTTCTACTTTTTCATTTGTGTGTCCCCACTAGACGCAAACCATGTGAGAGCAATTCACCACTTCTTGCAGACAGGGCTTTGTTTACCAGTACTCCTGGCACCTAGGACAGTAGGTGGATTGAATTGTGTCATGGATTGAATTGTGTCTCCCAAAAATACCTGTCAACTTGGCTAGTCCATGATTCCCAGTATTGTGTGATTGTCCACCATTTTGTCATCTGATGTGTTTTTCCTATGTGTTGTAAATCCTATCTTTATGATGTTAATGAGATGGGATTAGTGGCAGTTATGTTAATGAGATAGGACTCAATCTACAAGATTAGATTTTGTCTTGAGTGAATCTCTTTTGAGATATAAAAGAGAGAAGCAAGCAGAGAGACATGTGGGACCTCCTACCACCAAGATATAAGAGCTAGACCCCTTTGGACCTGGGGTCCCTGTGCTGAGACGCTCCTCGACAGGACAAGATTGATGACAAAGACCTTCTCCCAGAGCTGACAGAGAGAGAAAGCCTTCCCCTGGAGCTGACACCCTGAATTGTACTTCTAGCCTCCTAGGCTGTGAGAGAATAAAGTTCTCTTTGCTAAAGCCATCTACTTGTGGTATTTCTGTAATAGCAGCACTAGATAACTAAGATACTACCCAAGACATAGTAAGTGCTCAGTAAATATCTTTTCAATGAAGAGTGGAAGTTTGAAAAAGTATATGCCAGAGCCTCATTATAATTCATGCATGCAGATCATATAGAGTCAAACTGGAAAATTTCTGTTGTGAAATGGGGGCAGCAAGCAGTTGGTATATTTGAATTTCTATGGTGGGGCATATACAGTTTGAAAATCATACTCAATATTATTTATATTTGGAAAGTGAAAACCCGACTAGTTGTTTTGGAAATGAAAATTATAGAAAATGCATGGAATTTTTATATATGTCAAAAAAGGGCATAGGTTTTTGATAGTCAAAGAGAAAATGGTCTTATTTATTCATCACCTCATCCATTTGTTATTGATTGATTGATTCATACCTACTAGGTTCTGAGAATACAACACCACTTAAAAAGACAACATCCTTGCCTTCTTGAGAGTGTATGTTGTAGTTGAAGAAGCTCTAATGGGTCTACCCTTAAAATATTATGGCACAATTTCAGGGGTCAAGGTTGTGAGTATTGGATAGAAACAGCACTGTACTAAGAATTATATTTATGACTCTATTATTAAGTAGATGAGTGACACTCGTACAGGTGTCTTGGGGCTAAGAAAAGGGTTGAACTATAATAATCTTAAAATTCACCTTAAGCTATGACAGTCTGTGCTAGCTACATAGGGCTAAGTTATTCAACTTCTCTCAAGCTCAGTTTCCTTATTTGCAAAGGGGAAATTAGGATATTTGCCCATTTTTTTTCTCCTAGATTGGTAGTGAGTAGCAAATGACGTACTATACACTTAAAGGCTTTGGAAGCTTTTAAGCACTGTCCATCTAAGAGGAGCTATTATGAGGATGATGGGAGTATAATGGCCAAATGGAGTTGCTTCTTTAGCCATGGAGGGGGTTGGCTTTTAGTCTCCTTGGAGAACTATATTCGTAGAATTCATTATCCCAGAACTTGAGGCATTTCAAACCAGTCTTTATAGCAATTTCTGAAAAGCTCCTAATTGACAGTACTCACAATGAGTGCTCCCCAGAATGGATATCCTGTGAGGAAAACGAGGGGAAATCTTTGAGAGAATTTGACAAAATTAAATGCAATTATAACTCCGAGGCCTGCAATGATCAGAGCGAGCAGGATCTGGACAGCCTGTGAGGAGAGGAATGGGTACATGAGTTCACATGTGTCCTGGACCCATTGTATGCCCCAAGTCCCTCAGGCATGTACTTTCCTGCCTCTATGCTTTTGCCCACACTTTACCCTCCATTGGGGTGCCTTCCTCTTCCATTTACAAACCTCTAAGATAGTCAGTTGAAGCCCTGGTGGTGCAGTGGTTAAGAGCTCAGCTGCTGATCAAAAGGTTGATAGTTCGAATCCACCAGCTGCTCCTTGGAAACCTCATGGGGCAGTTCTACTCCATCCTATGGGGTTGCTGTGAGCTAGAATTGACTCAGTGGCAGCGGGTTTGGTTTTTGGTTAGGATAGTCAACAAGGAGCCCTGGTAGCGCAATGGTTAAGCTCACGGCTGCTAAATGAAAGGTCAGAGGTTTGAACCCACCCAGCAGCTCCATGGGAGAAAAGATCTGGTGATCTGCTCCCATAAAGATTACAGCCTAGGGAACCCTATGGGGCAGTTCTACTCTGTTCTATAGGGTCTCTATGGGTGGAAATCGACTCGATGGCACATAGCAACAACACAATGGTCAGGTGTCTCCTTTCAAATATCTCTTCCCCATTGTGCTTGTCTGGGTCATTGAGATTTCATGTCCTTCACTCTTGTCCCTCACTACTTACTATGTTCCTTGGTATTACCAATTTTTCTTGCATCAGAAAGATTTGAGTGCTTGTCTGATTCTATCCCTAGATGGTAAGCTTCTTGAGAACAGGGGCTACAAACCATTCACTTCTACATTTTTTTTCCCTTCTGCATCACCAGCACCCTATTATTATCCTCATCCCCCATTGTACACATTCAGTATATGCTTTTGGAATTGAGGCTCAGCCCACTCTCTAAAAGTTTATGATGTTCACTGACATAGAGTGAGGAAACTGGGGTGAGGATGTATCTTATCTCTCCTTCATCCAAGAACCTGGCTAGAGATGAAAGTAACCCATTCAACCTGCCAGGAGTTGAATGTCATGGTGGTCTTGCAGAGTCAGTGGCTCTTCTCCAGCATTCTGGGTTTTGTTCCCAGGCCACACTTCTGTGGTACCACACCACAAGTAGTTATCTTACTTTTGTACTAAGGATGAAGGCTGTGTACATAGCTCTCTCCCCAGGTGTGTTTATGACAGAATGCATTTTGTGTGTGTGTATGTCTAGATTGTGGTTCACTATGGAGTTCTGAAAATCATTTTCAAAGAACTCCCAGTGCTTGTAATAGAGCAACAGGGCAGTTTAACTTTTCCTTTAATGGCTTCTAAGTTCCAAGGGAGGTGACATCACACCCTGAGGTCACTTCTTCAGTAAGGTATTTGGAAAGATCACACCAGCTTCTTGCTTTACCTGTAGCAAGATTCAAAAATTAATACTAACTCCTCGCAAAACAGCACTTGGATTTTCTCAGGGATAGAGGATTATTAATTAAAGTTAAATATTCTGTTTTTCAGAGTTAAATAAGCCCTCAGAAAATTTCTAAAATATAAGGCAAAGTATGTGTCTTTCTAACAGAGTTTTTATTTCTCTAGCTCATCAAAATCTAAGGAAATGGTATCATTGGCTATATGTTGCTGAGATCTAAGTTCCTTGTACAAGCAAGTGACTTAGAAACACTTATGATTAGTCAAGGTCCCTGGGTGGTGCAAATGGTTTGCACTTGACTGCTAACCTAAAGGTTGGTGGTTTGAACTCACCCAGTGGTACCACGGAAGAACAGGCCTGGCAATCTCCTTCCATTAAGATTACAGCCAAGAAAACCCTATGGAGCAGTTCTACTCTGTAACACATGGGGTTGCCATGAGTTGGAATCAACCTGACAGCAACTAACAACAACGTGATAGGCCAGAAGGATACATTGCAGGTAAAAGATGAAGGGAAAGAAAAAACAACAACAACAATAGCAGAATCAACACACTCCCTGAAAAGCATTGTGCAGTGGTATCTCTGCAGACACACACGGAGAATTTATTTTCTCTGTACACTCCTACCCCTGGAAGACATCAGAGATTGGAGAAGACTTACCCCCAAGACTTGTGGCTCTCCCTTCAGGAAATCTAGCAGAGAGCTATGAGGTTTGTAAGGAAATCCAGTCAATACAGTTTCCCTTGGTTGTACAATGACGGCATGGGTTTCTTTTTTGACCTGAGGTGGTGACTCCATGATTCAATGGCAAAACTGTATTAAAAAAATGAGTTGGTGAACATTACAGCCAAAATCATGGTCTCCTTCTCCATCAGTGTCACATGGCGTCCTTAGCAATGCATCCTTAGTGATCACTCTGCTCAGTGCTAGAAGCACAGAATCATAATCATTGAGTCATAAAGTGTTAGAATTCTTGGGCATACTCAACCACCTATCTTGCTGGTGAAGAATCCGGTTGTGCAGAAATGTTACCCTTCCATCAATTTGTATATAGATAATGTACACAAGAATAAATCCCAATACCTAATGTTCATAAGATAAAAAGGAACTAAAATTTATTGAATATCCACTATATTCCAGGCTCTGTAGAAGGTGTTTTTGTTTGTTTAACAGATATTCACATTTAATCCTTTAACAATTCTATGGTGCTGAAACTGGTACAGAAAAGTAAAGTTGCCCAAGGTCGCGCACTAAGGGGCACGGGAAGGAGTCAAACTATGCTAGTCTGTTTCCGAAATCTGTGTTGCATCTATTCAACCGTGCTTCCAGCTTCCTTCAAAAAGAAAATATCCTGCTTTTAGGTGGTGAATTGTCTCACTTATTGTTTAACCATATTCCTTGGTAGTATAAAAATCGTTAAAAAGGTATAGATTAGGTGTAGTTGTTAACTTTAATAAACTGCATTTTAGCTTTCAGAAAGACAAGTAAAACTAATTTTATTAAAGGCTTTCATGGTTTAAACCATACAAATATAAATTTAAACAACTTGGTACAGACAACATAAAATGCCTTTTGAAATTTTGCTTTCCACATTTAATCCTTTATATTCCTATATTTGTTATGATTTTAGCTATTAAATAACAAAGGCTAATTATTTCACAGAGCCAAAAAATACACTCAGATATTATCTTGAGCTCCCAATTTGCAGCAACCACAGATAGCAAGGTTTCTCAGCTTCGGCACTATTGGTATTTTGGGCCTGATAATTCTTTGTTGTGGGAAATTGTCCTGTGCATTGTAGGATATTTAGCAGCATTCCTGGCTTCTACTCAGTAGATACCAGTAGCATACCCCCAGTTTTGACAACCAAAAACTGTCTCCAGATGTTGCCAAATGTCCCTGGGGACGGGGGCAAAATTTCTCCAGGTTGAGAACCACTGATGTATAGAAATAGCCCAGTAACTTTTTTCATGATAAAATACCTCACTTATAGATTGAATTGTGTCCTCTTAAAATATATGTTAAATTTCTGGCCCCTGTACCTGGGGTTATGATCCTGTTTGGAAATCGAGTTTTCTTTTATTATGTTAATGAGGCCGTAACAGAGTAGGGTGGATCCTAAACCTAATCATTTCTGATTTATAAAAAGAGAAGAATAGACACAGAGACACAGATGGGGGAGATGCCATATGGTGACAGACAAACACAGCAGATGCACCTACAAGCCCAGGAATGCCAAGGATTACTGGCAGCTACTAGAAGGTGAAATAGACAAAGAAGGACCTTCCACTGGAGGCACGCCCTGAATTCGGACTTTTGGCCTCCTGAACTGTGAGAAAATAAATTTCTGTTCTTTAAAGCCACCCTCGTGTGGTTTTTTTGTTATGACAGCACTAGAACATAGTCTTTTTGTTTTTTCACACCCAAACTTCAAAGGTGTGTATTTATCAATACAACATTTTTTTTTTTTTCTGACAATGTTTATTCAGGTAAATTTTAATTTATGTACCTAAAATTCAATACACCATTTTAAACAAAACAAAATGTGGAACAAGTCTATATTTAAATTCTAAGCAGAACTGGTAGACCATCAGAATCATGTAGAGATGTGTGAAAATATGTTGAGTGTCAATAAAAGGGAAACATACCCTGGACTGCACCGATAGTAACTGAGGCCACATACTGCAACCAGAGCTCCTGACCTTGCCGTGCATTCTGATTACATGGTGAGCGAGGAATTCCAATGTTCTAAACGTGTTCAAACTTAACATGTTAGTTGATTACTTGTTGTTGCTGTTAGCTGTCAGCATGTTACACGGCAATCCCATGCACAATGGAACTAAGTGATGCCTGATCCTGTACCACCCCCATGATTGGTTGTGGATCAGATTTGTGATCCATAGGGTTTTCACTGGCTGGTAGATCACCAGGCCTTTTTTCCTAGTCTATCTTAGTCTGGAAGCTCCTCTGAAACTTGTTCAGCATCACAGCAACACACAAGCTTCCACTGACAGGTGGTGGCTGTGCATGAGGTGCATTGGGCAGGAATCAAACCCAGGTCTCCTGTATGGAAGGTGAGAATTCAACCACTGAACTACCCACGGCTCATAGGTTATTACTTACATTACCTTCTAATTACATTTTAGAAAATCAGATGAGAGTTTAACCTCACTCATAACATTTTTTTTCCTTTAAAATGATGGGAAAGAGATGTCTTCATGCAGAATGCCTGATTTTTAGGAATGAATTATTGATGTTAAGCAAGAGAAACTTAGAATTCTATTCACCTTGGATATTTCAAAATGTATCTCATTTAATCTTTCCAACTAGGTTATAATTAATTGTCAGCCTCTGCCTTTCTCCCCTAAGACCGACTTCCAAGCTCCTCAAAGAGAGCCCTCTAACATCTCCATTTATAGATTCAGGTCAAAAGGCAAGAACTAAGCTATTCCATGGAGAGGTCAAATGATAGAGTCCTCATGGGACAACTATAAGCAGGGTGATACTCTTGGGTGGAAATAGTACTTCCTTTTGCTTTCACCTTGTGGTAGACTACCTTTCTTCAAGTCTGACAAGTGATGTTGAGCACTTAGTATGCGTCAACACTGGTCTAAATAAAGTGATATATTTATTGCCTCATTAGTTTCAGCCTGCTACGCATATTACCATGTCATCCTCCCAACAATCCTGGGAGGTAGGTGTTACTGCCATCCCCATTTTAAAGGCAAGGAAACCATGATTCCTGCTGGAAAGTGGTGGAGTTGCAATTTGAACTTGGCCTTTCTTGTTCCCAATTCCATGCTCTCATCCAGTGTGTATTAGTTTTCCATTGCCATGTAACTAATTACTACAAATTGAGCGGCTTAAAATAAAAAGCATTTATTATCTCACAGTTTCTGTGGGCCAAGAGTGGAGGCATGGCTTAGGTAGGTGTCTCTGCTCAAGGTCTCACAAGGCTGCAATCAAGGTGTTATCCAGGCTGCATTTTCATTTAGAGGCTCAACTGGGAAGAACCGACTTCCAAGCTCTTTCAGGTTGTTGGGAGGATTTTTTTCCTTGCGAATCTGTGACTTGGATCCCAGCTTTTTGCTGGCTGGAGGCTGCCCTCAGATCCTGGAGACCACCCTCAGTTCTTTGCTTTCTCAGCTTGGCTGCTTACTTCATCACTCCATCCAGGGCAATTTCTCATCCTGGTTGGCTAAGATAGGAGGAAGGATTGGAGAGCACGTGAGAAGGACATGAGCATGTGTGACTCAGCCACTGCTTCTGGGTCACCTCCTTAGGGGGAGGGGCACCTGCATTTCTTTTATTAACAACGAGAGCTCTGAGTTCTGGTATGTATGTTAACTATCTGGAGTTGGTTAAAATCATCACTGCTTTTCTTGCCATGAGTTTATTAGATCTTCCTGTTAATGGCTCTTGCCTAGTTGGTTTCCCAAACTGAATGTGTGGTGAGGCAAAGGAAGGTGTCAAGAATGACTCCCAAAGTTTTGACTTTGAAACTGAGTGGATGGTGGTGCCATTTGCGGGCAACTGAGTAACAACCAGGCTGGGCGTAGGGGAGCGTAAAATACAGTGATTTGGTGAATCAGATATTCTGAAGAATTTTTCTACTAATAGCAAAAATCAGACAAACAAAATAGATCCTCGATAAAATATAAATTTTATTGTATTTGTTGGCTCATGGGAAAAAGATATATTTCCAAGGTCCTTGGACCCCAGTTTTTAGGATACAACATTTGAACAACATGAGTGTGAAAAAACAGTGTGAAGAAACAGGGTCTGCAGAACCCCGATGACTTAGGTCATTCACACTAACAACAAAGAGTAGCACAAGAGAGCATTATTTTCTCTGTCGCTTTCTGCACAGCTCACCCATAAACCAAACCCATTGCCGTCGAGTCGATTCTGCCTCACAGCTTACCCAGAACAGCTTATGGAGTTTATGGCCATTTCAGAAGACTGACTAGTAAAATTTTACTGACCTGGGCTTTTGGGAAATTATTTGCTAGAGAAATAAAATGATTCACACTGAACAAATACAAAACAGTGTGTGTGTGTGTGTGTGTGTGTGTGTGTGTGTGTGTGTTTAAAGTTTCTTAGTCTCTAAAGCGGCTGAGATTTCAGGAATGTCTCGTTACACTTTGCAACAGCATTGGTGTTCTCTTTGTTGCTCTGATGCCAACAGTTACTCATCCATGACCTTGAAGAACTCTTTTTGACATATTGCATATGCTTTTGTGATTGAGGCAGGAAAAATGCACTCTGGAAAAGATAAAATGCGTTAGTGGATCTTTAACTCTAATTTTTGGAGGCTTTTTTTTTTTTTTTCCCCTGTATATTTATAATACTTTTCCCTTGGATTTTGTATAGTAATAGCTCTTCCAACTTTACCGTCACATACAATAACACCAATATTTGTTTGAACAAATGTCATTCCCCAGCCTGCTAATAATTTTTCCTTTTTCTAATAAAATCAGAGTTGAATTATAATTTATCAAATATCTTTAAAAATTCTGTATAATTTGATTTGAGAATATTTTGCTATAGCTTTGAGAAGAAACAAAAGTAGGTTAAAATTATAATATCAAGAGCTAAGAGGAGAGCACAGAGACAGAAATGTCCTAGTAAAATCTAATCACGTTCGCCAGGGCACTTTGTTATGGGGACTCTCTAGGGAGGAAGCAGGCCGTGTTCTGACAAGAGTGAGGGAATGCAAATATCATGGTTTGAATTATGTCCCCCCAAAAATGTGTGTATCAATTTGGCTGGGCCATGATTCCCAGAATTGTGTGTTGTCCTTCATTTTGTGATTGTAATTTTATGTTAAAGAGGATTAGGGTGGGATTGTAACACCACCTTTACCCAGGTCACATCCCTGATCCAATGTAAAGAGTTGCCCTAGGGTGTGGCCTGCACCACCTTTTACCTGACGAGAGATAAAAGGAAAGGGAAGCAATTGGGGACCTCATACCAATAGGAGAGCAGTGCCAGGAGCACAGCGTGTCCTTCGGACCGGGGTCCCTGTGCCGAGAAGCTCCTACTCTGGGGGAACACTGATGAGAAAGCCAAGAAAGACAGAAAGCCTTCCCCTGGAGCTGACACCCTGAATTTGGACTTTTAGCCTACTTTACTGTAAGGAAATAAACTTTTCTTTGTTAAAACCATCCACTTGTGGTGTTTCTGTTATGGCAGCACTAGATAACTAAGACAGCAAGTTCTCAATCTCAGCCTATTAGTTTGTATCTTTAATTCTCCATGTGATTTTGGGTAAACCTTGGTAGGTTGGACCAGGAGATTTCTAAAGCTAACTAGCTTCATACTCAGTAGTTCTCTAACTGGTCTGCCTCCCAGTAGACACCAGCTGCTCTTAGCTGACCAATGTGTCAGCAGCCCCTTTATTCAACTCATTTCCCACTGTAAAAGTCACCTTCCACATGGTCATGACTAACAATTGACTCCTTTTACTACCACTTCTTGGGCCTGGATCATCAGAGCTCAGACCTTGGGACACAGCAGGTATCATCTGACATGTCAACATACTCACGCCAAAGTTGTAAGAGTGGACCTGTTTCCACCAAAGGAGAGATGCATATACAGCTAGTAAGAGTTCCAGCACAGTGAAGATAAGCATCACCACCAGCAAACCCTGTAAAACAGGACATGAATGGTTGGTGCCTGACATAAGCCAGCCCTTGTGCCTGACTGAAGGCCCTAGCAATGGAGAGAATAAGGGCCAGAGAAAATTGTTCAGTCCCCTTTGCTGTTTTCTGTTTAGGATATCTTAGCCGAAGAGATTAAAGGGAATGAGAGATAAATGTAGTCCCTGGGTTACTAATGAGATCCTTTCCTAAATCTGTCTTTAAGTCGAATTTGCAGATAAGTCAGAACAGGTACATATGGTTCTTATTTAGTGTCAGTTACTCAAATGTTTGTCTCAGTTATATAGTATATATTTCATCTTTCTATGCATATAAAACGCTTAAGAAACACTTCCAAAGCACACAATGTTTTCAAGAGTGTCACAAAATAGTGTGTGGATTCTTTAATATGAACCATTGTATGCATTTAACTTAAATTTTTAATATAATAAGTTTTATGACAGTCCGTTCTTAAGTATGAGCTGTCCACAAGTCGGGTGTCCATAACCCAGGGACTGCCTGTATTACCTTTGTCTCACTTGCCCCTACTAGGAGTCATCACAGAGGAAAAAGTCTTTCTCTTGAAAGGGCCACAGATTTATGGTTTTAAAACCATGAGTCTTTATATGAAGAGAGGATTGACTAAGCCACGATTTTCACCATCAACAGGTGGTGACCATCAAGGTTGGGGAAAAGGTGGCAAGAAAAATGCTACTCAGAGATGTTGGCATTTCTGCTAGGAGCTGAATACACTGGTGAGCCATCTCCCATCCCCCTCTAATCCTTTGCCAGTCCTACTGGGCCAAAGTATAATAATTTTGTGCTTGGGTTTAAGGTTCATCCTCTGTGCCTCCCTTAATGTAGCAGACATAGGCATGCGCTTGATGGAACTAAGCACTGAGTGGTTTATCCTAGTCCCAAACTCAGTCCCATGTTCTGTTCTTACAATCAGAAGACAAGCATCTCTAAGGGGTACGGGCTTCCCCCACCAGCAAAGGGACCCAGAGGAGATAATCTCAAAGCTAAATAAAATCCAGATAAAGAGGTGGTATTTCTGCTTACGTTGAGGAGAAAAGGCCTGCTCAACAAAGGAGGAACCTAGAGAGTTAAACCTGCTGAGGTTGGAATATTTGCTACTTAAGAAAGATTACTGAAGGGATAGATTTCCCACTGCCCTTCTTGATTTCCTTTTTTGACATTATGCAATACATTTCCCATATCATGCATGCAGTTGAGAGATCTCGTTCAGTCATATATATTTGTGTTTTCTCTTTGCCTCCAGTATTCACACCCACAGAACTACAGACAGCTAAAAAAGCAAAGATTATGGAAACGGAGCATGCTGAGATTTCACATGACAGGATGTTCAGTCTGGAACTACTTACTGTTAGACTGGCACTGCCCAGCAGACAGTCCTTGGTTTCATATACTGAATAGTAGTAGTCTGAGTAAGGCAATGATGATAGATTCTCTAAGTCACACTGCTGAGAGGCAGTTCTCAGGGCTACCAGGTTATCAGCGAGGAGGATGAAGCCTGCTCCAGCAGCTACAAAGCTCATTGCATTTGAGGTTAGGCTTCTTATGGCCTGGAAGAGAAAGTCTGCATTGGGCTCTCATCACTGAAGCAGCCCTGTTGCCATTATCCCTCAATCCATTGCACTGCAATGGTACTTTCCTGCGTCTGTTTCCGCCTCTGATTGGTGCACTCTTAGGGGGCACAGATTGTGTTTTATGCATCCTTCTATCCCGTCTCAATATCTATTGTGTCACTTGATATAATTAGTAAGTGCTGGTTGAATGAGAAAATGCATGAATATTTTTCTCCTTGGGGAGATGAGTTCTGTCTCCTTTACTCTCTCCCTAGGGTGGAAACACTAAAAGCGTATACCTTCAATTTCACTAGATGGTAGGGCCAGAGGTGTGTGGGCTTAGACTCTGTGACTCTCTCCTCCACCCTCTAGAAATAAGGAATTATTATACTGTAGCTGCTTCCCCCACAAAGAGCAGGGGTGGGGAGGCAGGAAGCAACTAAGGTCTTTACTCTTCTCCATAGCAACCATTCCCTCTGCCTCTGCCACACACCCACAAAGGTGACTCAAGGAAAAGCCACATCCTGCCACAGGAAGTTCCCAAGGTCATGGATGAAGACACAGAGAAGGTGAATGAGACTGATACGTACTCGTAATGTTTGAAGCTGCAGTGTAATCCTAAGGACTAGGATATTGGGTTTTGAAGAGTTAACAGTGTAAGTGGCGGCATGGGATGGGGTCAGAGCTCTGGACTTGGAAGCAGAAAACCTGGACTCCATTCTCAGCTCTGTCCCTGATCCCTTCTATATGCTTGAACAAGTTCCTCCCTATGCTGAGCTTCAGTTTTCTCATTTATAAAATGTGTAAGATAAACATTCTGATCTCCTAAGTGGCTTCCCAACTTTCCTGAATACACCGAAAGGGAAAATCATGTTTGGGATGACCTGACAACCATGTGGACTCCACATACGGGACATGTGACAACATGGGGGCTCCATGGCCCATATAGCAGCTCTGAAGAAAGGCCCTCCCCTGTCACAATCAGGCTGCTTTTCCTTTGGTGACTCAGCTCTTGGAGCTATGTAGCTATAGGGCAAGGGAGAAGAGGAGAGGGCAACCATCACCCCTAACACAATTTCCTCCAGTGATGCTCAGACAGAGACGAGCTTGTCCTGGGAACCTGACACAGAGCCTGGCATATCAGTGTCTTTGCAAAGGAATCATCGTATTCTGGGAGAGCCCTTTCCTCAGAATATAGACTAGGACCCAGAAGAAGGTGTGGTGAATTGTGTTCTCATAGGCCTGATTCTTTTATAGGTATTCCTACTTTTCTCTAGCTTGCGTCTGTTTTTTTCTGAAGTGGCCCCTTCCTTATGTGAGGAGAAAGCATAGATTGAATTTCCTAGGAGGGACCAAAGGTCATTTTCTAGAACTTTTAGGGCAGTAGAATGATTCTAAAGATTTTGAGGAAATCAAGAGGGATATTGGTAGTGGCCTGAGCAGTACCACCTGTCTTCAGCTCTGCTGTCAATGTTGACATCACAGACTTGCCCCTCCCACTACCACTCGACATACTCTCTATAAACCTTTACAGATAGCAATCACATTTGCTCACCCTCATTCTCTCCTCACCTTACTTTTAGCTTTTCTTGGTCACCCCAATATTTTGGATGGAGATAGCCTCCTCCAGTCCAGGTGAAGATGTCAACATCCTCTCCTGGGCAGAACAGGAGCTCCCACCTGCCCCCTACCACCTTATTCAGTGGCCAAGGCAGTGACCAAGGTAATAGGTTGTAAAGAGTCTACAATAAAACCAAAACCCACTGCCATGGAGTCGATTTCGACTCATAGCAACCCTATAGGACAGAGTAGAACTGCCCCATAGGGTTTCCAAGGCTGTAAATCTTTATGGAATCTGACTGCCACGTCTTTATCCCATGGAACAGCTAGTGGGTTTGAACTGCTGACATTTCAGGTAGAAGCCAAGTGCTTAACCACTGTGCCGCCAGGGCTCCTTGAGTCTACGATATATATGGGATAAAAGACTTAGTTTTACCCTAAGTAAGGTGGCCTTGTCCTTGTCTCTGGAGAAATAACCCTTGGACTAAGTGGTGTGCCTTGGTGTGGGACTTCCAGGCCATACCTGAGGATTTGTGCTTGTGAGTGGGGGCTGGTCAGACCAGAAAGGACTCACTTGGGAGGCCGATAGCAGCTAGCCTCAGGAAGTATGGTTTAGCCTATCATGCAGGGCTGGCCAAGAAAAGTCCAGAGCACTAAGGCTCCAAGAACTTCCAGGTCGCTGAATGGAGGGTGATGTGCCCTCTCTGAGACATGGCAGCTCCACCCTGGGAACCTTCCCAGATCTCTCCTGCATATCTCTTCTTTATGATGATCCTGATTTATATCATTGTACTATAATAAAACTGGTAGTCATAATATCTTCCATGAGTTCTGTGAATTGTTTTGGTGAATTAACACACCCAAGGTCAGTGTCCTCTTAAATTGTAAGGTCTGACTTATCCCTGCATGACTAGGGGCAGAGAGAAAGTGTTGTGTGGGTGGCTGGTGTCAGAAATGATGAAGTAGGAAAGCAGGGATATAATTGATCTCTGCCTCCTGGGAATAAGCTTTATGCTGATTCTCATCCACAAAGCTATCGTTGTAGTATATTTGAAAATTTCTAATGCTTAAACAATATAAGTAAACCCACTCCAAACTTGGAATATGATACAGGAGTACCATTTTGTGGTAGAAACAGTGCTGGTCTAGAAGGCAAGAAATCTGGACTCTACAACTAGTTGTGCCATGGACTAGCCAGCAGTCCTTGGTCTCCCTCACCTGCTCTGGGCTTCATTTCCCTAAACTGTAAAATAGAGGTTTTTTAAGAAGAAAAATTAACTCTGAAGTTCCTTCAATTCAAACCAGCTGAGATTTGATGGTTTTCATACTTACAAAGGCCTTAGTTGATTTTTTCCCAGAAATAATTGAGAGGGATCCAGTAACGACAAACTGCTCAAAAAAGAGAGAAATGGTCGGTTTAATTGTCTTGTGAAAATGTGGCTACCATGTTACAATCAATCATTCAGTCAATAAGTATTGCTGAAAAACTTTTGGGGAGATAACACTGCAGGCATGGTGTGGGTCCATAGTGATAGGGAGGCTCAATTTCTGCCTTCAGGGTGCTCACATTGATTTTGAGGAACAGGCAGATACAGAGAGGAGAAAGATTTATGCTAGTGGAAATCCTAGGAACTGAGGAAGCCTGGAGAGAAGGTGTACATGGAAAGGAGGACAGTTGCTAAATTAAAGGATCAACAGTGAGGAGGATGAGATTGACCAATGACTTGAAGGGATAGAAAGAAGGGAGCAGCCAAAAGAAGCACTTGGGGAAAGGATTCTGAAATGGCTAAGACACAGAAACACATGGTCTTCAAGCTGTTGATGTAGGTGGCCTGAGCAATTCTAGAAGTTAAGGAAAAAGGGAAGGGCAAGATCATATTCCATCACAAACCCCCAGAAGTCAGTATTTTATCCCAATAGTATTAAAGATCTAGCTTGTGGTGGGAAAATATTCTGAGAAGCTGAAACACCAGTTATACTTGTGCCCTGGGAGTTGAGTAGTCCCAAAGAGAGTCCCATGTTGCCAGCATGAACTAATTTTAGCTTTCATAAGGGAATGTGGGTTAGAAAATTCAAGGATAAATTATGCTTTGGGGGCAGGGGCAGAGTCTCTGTATATGATCTCATAGAGGTGGTGCCTTGGTATGTTTATTTGCCCAGAATGAGTTCCTTTTTTTCCTTTGTATAGTATATTACATGGGAAAGAAGTGTCCCTTTGTGGGAGGAGTGAAGTGGCTCAGGCTACTTAAAAAAAAAAAAAAAAAAAATCCCCTAGACCCATTGTCATAAGCCATTGAATGGGAGGCAACTAAAAGAGTTTTCCAAGGGCTCAGGACTGCCTCTTAGCACATAGCAAGAGTGCCCTTTTCCCCATGAATTCTACCATTGCTAATTTAATTCTTTGCAAATCAGCGACATCTACTAGCAGTGCTCAATTTATTGTTTAGAAATGACCTTCTCAGTTTCTATCTTCTAGATGGATTATTTTTCAAATAGAGAGAATCCAATGGCCTCATGCAAAAATCAAGACACTTTTCCAGAGGCATGCTGAACACAGTCAGGTAAGGAATGCTGTACCGATATGTTACTTCCAGTGTATTACCTTCCTCTCTTGCCTCCTGTCCCCACTAAACCCTCTCTTGGCTACTCATGCAAGAGGAAAGATCCAGCTCTTCTGCTCCTCTTCCTGCGTAGGAGAGACATAATGTGGGACAATAACAGAGGGAAAGTCTAAGGCCTTGGCCTTGTTTTTCTGTGTCCCAATCTCTTGGAGACTGAGTTACTCCATGACAAAGCACCAAGTTAGCATTTATAAAGCAATTTCCGTCTTGGAGACCCCACTCTACTTACACACAGAGATGCTACAAATGGGTACCCGGACATCAAAATAGTAGAAACCTGGGGGTTGAAGTGGGTAGGGTACTGCGCAGAAACCAAAATTGCCCCCAAGCTTGAAATCATCAGGCAAGATAGGATCTGGATAGCCTGCAAAACAAGAGTAGGTAGGGAAAGAGATTTTGAGAATTGGTCCAGTTCACTTCCCCCAGACAACTATTTTTACTGTCATAAAAATCCTAAAGGGATATATTTTGATAAGCAAAGTTTTCTTTCAGGTGCATTGGAATATGCCATGGATGTGATGTATGCCGGTCATGGTAAAAAAATCATCACGGCCCTTCTTATTTTAAGACCCCTTAGGAGTAAGCTGACTGAATCATTGAGTAACAGCATTTGTTCTTGCTCATGGGGAGCCTGAACACTACTTTTCACAGCTCCTCAAGTCTATTACAATGGCTCCAGCCCCATTCTCCTTTCTGTGCTTCGTAACACTGGAATTGTTTCTCTACATCCCAATAGAAAGCAGGGATGTATAGATGTTTTTTCCCACTGCTCCCAAGACAAAAGTTAGACATGTGAATGTAGAACCTACTCTGCTCAGCCCCATGGGCTCTACAGCCCAAATGCCTAATTCTGACAGACACCTAAGGTAAACCTCAAGATAAAACCACTCCATGACTAAGCACCCACTTAGCATGTATAAAGCAGTTCCCCATGCATTGTCATGTGTGTATCACAGTAAACCACAAAACAAGCAAAGAAAGGATTTTTATCCCAAATGATAGTTGATGAAACTGAATCAGGGAAGAGGTGCTGTTAAAAAGAAGAACTCTTGCTTCCAAATCCCAGGTTTCTTCTTTTGTTTTTCACTTATCCATTCCATAAATGAAATATAGACAGTGGTGGGCTTTTTGTTATTGTTATTGACAGGATCCAAGGCATGGCTCAGGAAGTGAGAGGACGTGGTATTGGAATGATCATCAACATGGGTATGAAAAAGCCAAAGATTATGATAGGAACGCTACTGGAGGGAGCGACAGTGACCTAGGAGTCAACATCTTCAAGGAATACAGTGGAATGACCTGGAGAAGCAAAAGAAGAGGAAGCGAATTACATAGTAGGATCACATGGGCTTCTAAAGCAGGTGGTTTTAGGGATGGAGAAAGATTGATCTGGAAGTATTTGTGAGAAACAAAGATGATACCAACTTCATCTCCATGCCCAGAGGTGAGAGCTGCAGTAGAAGCAATCCTCTCAGGAAGTAGCTAGATTTCTGATTGCACAACAGATGAAGGGGCTCTGAGAAAAGAATTTGAAGACGGATCATGCTGTTAACTGAGCCTGAATTCCAGACGACACAGTTGGGCAGATTTCCAAAGCTGGAACAGGTAGGTATTCCTTCTTAAACGAGAATGTTCAGAATCACGTGGGGATTACAGTCCTGGTTAAGAGGGATGATAATCTAGGGTGCTTTGTAGTGACTCATGTAAATAGGAAGCAAAAGTATGTGAGTCTAGCTTGTCTCATCTCAAAAGATTTGAAAAAATGAGGTCGAAGTAAGGTCTAGTTTAATTATATTGAGTAAAATTATATGGTTAGTTCCAAAATCTCTACTCTACTAAAGGCAAATTAGGAGAGACTTAATTAATTAGCATTTGGGTAAAAAAGAGGTGGTGATTTTGATTAGTTTACAGAAAGGCCTGAGGAGGATATAGTCTTTCTATAAAGCCCCATTTTGTGTTCCAGCCAGCCTGGAGTCAGCCAAGGAAAAAATAAAACAAAATGTTCTCCCAGATCCATTGTAGATCTGTGGTCTGGATACATTCACAATCTAGTCCCTCAGTATTATCCCTATAATGAGACGGATTTACCCCAAGAACCGTGGCCTCCTTTTGCAGATCATTCTTCAGGTTATCCTCTTTTTGGTAGGTATGTCCAGGTTTCTCTCTTTGGGTAACAATGATGTCCTTTGGAGTGAAGGTGCTAAAGGTCCCCTTGGTCTTGGGCAGTGATAGCATGGTGCTGGTGATGCTGGAAGAGACAGTGAACTCAATTAGGACTCAGGGTTTTGACTGAAAGGCATAAGGCTCCCAGGGACTTTGAAGGAACTTAAGAAGGTGCTTCTCCATATCCAAAGGATGACTTGTGTATTAGGAACAAAACAGAATGTGGGGAGCAGTAGGAACCTTGGAATGCTAGCATGCTTGCCAAGTCTGTCCATTGTAGACAACAAGTAGTCACTGGAAGAAAACTGGAAAATTGTAGAGGAATCTCACAATTGAGAAGCAAACATTTCACACAGAACTTGCTTTGCAGCCTGAAGTGTATCTGCCTTTCTCCCTGCAGCAGCCTCTATTTCCAGCTTCCCTTCCCTGTCCCTGTATCTCCTCCTCACCTGTGGCACATTCCCACACCACATTCCCCAGGCTTGCACATATACACTACCCCTGTCCTGCACAGTCCTCTACCCTAGTCTTACTTTTCTTTCCATTAAGGTGTTGGGTGAATCCTATTCTGGTTCCCTTTCTGATAGAGGGCCTTTCCTACTTAGAATGCCTCGTTGTTTATATTGGCTTAATTATTATTAATATGAACATTTATTGAACTCCTGCTGAATTCCAGGCACTAGGCCAAAGTAGCTCTAATTCTTATAACAACTCTGCAAGTTACAAGTTATTAAACTCGTTTTACACATCAGAAACTCTGGACTAATAAGTTCAAGTGACTTTTGTTTTCAAAATACAGTCATGTATCACTTAAAGTCCATGATATGTTCTGTGAAATAGGATGTTATGTGATTTGGACGTTGCGCAAACATCCTATTATACACAGGCAGTCCTGTACAATCCGTAGTTATGAACCTATTATATTAAAACCTTATGGGAACCTTCCAGACAAAGCCTGAGAGCTGTATCCATTGGATACAGGAGGCTGGCCTTGTCGGGTGTGTGGCTGGCGGCCTGGAGAAGGCTGCGCCGGCAGCCTCACTGGGACTTTGACCACATCCAGGCTGGGGGCGGTGGTGCACGCGGCTTGGAGAGGTGAGGCAAGGGGGCCACTAGCAGGCACTGCCCTTTGCCAAGAGTGAAGGACTGCAAGGCTGCTGGGCTGCTGAATGAAGCCAGGAGGAAGTGTAGGTGGAGGAGGCAGGAGGATTGGAAAGTGCCCTGGAGGCCTGCTGCTTGTTCACTCTGGGGGTTTGGGATCTTTAAAATCATTAGGGGAAAACAGTAAACAAAAGGAGAGCTGCTTTCCCTTAAACAAAAAAACAAAAAAACTTGTGAGACCATGGAGGTATATGGGGTCAGAGTGTTGCCAAACGGATAGCACATGACTATAGTTACACAAAGCACTCATTCTTGGGGCATAGGAAGTGTTTAATAAATAATAGACATAATTATTATTAGCCTGTATTTGCATACTGGGAAGTACCTGAAATGAGCCGGTCAACCTGGCCCAGAAGCTTGTGATATTTTCTTCTATACCACATGACTTCGCCTCATACTCCTTTCTTCCTTCCTAACATTGCAAGTTCCAGTGTTAATGTAGAGCAGTGGTCTGCTGGCCAGCAGGGTAGCTGGGCCTCCGTGGTGTCAACAGCAGGGCTTAGTCACTGGGATGCTCCCCAGATGTATTCTCAGCACAGCGTTCTCCCTCCTGAGAGCCAGTTTGGATAACAGCTTGAGATCATCTGAAGGTGCCAGAGTTCTGCTCTCTGACATTTCACTTCAGTGTTGTGGGATGGTTCCAGGCTATCTTAGGAGCCATGGTGGCACGGTGATTCAGCACGTGACTGCTAACCGAAAGGTCAGTGGTTTGAACTTATCAGTGCTAGGCAGAAGAAAGATGTGGCAATCTGCTTCTGTAAATATTACAGCCTTGGAAACCCTATGGGACAGTTCTACTCTGTCCTATAGAGCCCCTATGAATCAGAATCAACTCGACAGCAATAGGTTCCGGGCTTTCTGGGATGACGTGCATGACATATACAGATTGCAAATGGCACCCAAAATCTCATTGCTAGTGGAAGAGATGGGAAAGAACACTGGGCTGGGAGTCCAATGACTGGGCCTCTAGTTGCACATCTGAACATGTCTTAGAGTCCAGCTCTATACTCACATTTCATTTCTCCCAATTACTATTAAACTCACCATGCTAGTTAACCAATTGCCTTCCAGTTGATCATGACTTATGGACATCCCACGTGTGTCAGAGTAGAACTGTGCTCCGCAGGGTTTTCAGTGGCTGATTTTTCAGAAGTAGATCACCAGATCTTTCTTCCAGGGTGTCTCTGAGTGAACTCGAACCTCCAAACTTTTGGTTAGCAGTGAAACACTTAACCATTGGCAACACCCAGAGACTCCTTAAACTCACCATAGGCAAGTTATTTTTGTCAACTCATAGGTTTGCGGTGAGGGTAAAACAAGATGATGTGTGTCATGGGCTCAGCATAGAGCAGGCACATAATAAATACATATTAGTTATATCTAAAACTCATTAAAATGTCATCCCTGATATTTACTAGCTAGCCATGGGCAAATTATTTCCCCTGAGTCATCCTCGGTTTCAAAACCTATAAAAGAAGGATAATACTACTAACATGAAGGACTTGTGAGGATTTGAATATATGAATGTCTTTTGTCATGCCTCTCTGAGTTTTATCAGGTGCTCTCCAATACTCAATAAATACTAGTGACCTCTACCTAGATCTATGCCTTGATTAAGTTTCCCATGTCATCTGAGCCTCAAGTACCTTATCTGAAGAGTTATTAAAAATAAAGAGCTCCTTATAGTCTTGTGGGGCAGCTCAGTCCATTGGCATAATATAGTCCATAAAGACAAATGTTGTATATCTTAATTTGGTGAGTAGCTTCTGGGGTCTTAAAAGCTTGTGAGTGGTCATCTAAGATACAACTATTGGTATCTGCTTATCCGGAGCTAAAGAGAAAGAAGGAAACCAAACACTTAAAGAAGAAAGTAGTCTACAGCACCAATAGTCTACACGAACAACAACATCACTTTCCTTGAGACCAGAAGAACTAGATGGTGCCCAGTTACCACTACTGACCATTCAGACTAGAGACTCAACAAATGGTCCTGGATAGAATGGGACAAAAATGTAGAATAACACTCAAATTCCTAAAAAAGGCCACACTTACTTGACTGGTAGAGACTAGATGAACTCCTGAGACTACTGGCCTGAGATACTCTTTAATCTTGGAACTCAAACCACTCCCAGGGGTTACCTTTCAGCCAAATGACAGATTGACCCATAAAATAAATACTACCTGTGAGTACTGTGCTTCTCAAAATAGTTATCTAGAGGAAACTAAATGGTAAACATTTACTCTAGACCAAAGATGAGAAGGCAAAGGGGGAGAAGGAAGCTAGATTAATGGAAACCAAACAACTAAAATGGGAATAATGAGAATTCTGATATACTGTGAAGAATGCAACCAATGTCACTGAATAATATGTATAGAAATTGTTAAATGAGAACCTAATTTCCTGTGTAAACTTTCATCAAAAACACAATAAAATGTTTTAAAAAAAGGTCTCCTTTTTAAAGGAGCTAATTTTCATTTCTTGGAATTTGAAAATCTAGGCAAAAGTATGGGTGAGGCATTATAAACCAGGGGAAGAATAGTGTTGACGCTGAGTCCCTGTAGTACTGCTGGGGTGAGTATGTCATGGATAGTTCTAGGCCCATTCTGTTCAGAATTCCAGCACATCTTTAAAGCCAGAGAAATGGAAAAAGTATCAGACTTTAAGAGATTCTAGGTTTCAAACTCAAACAGTAGTTCCAGATAAAATAATAATTGTTAACATTTACTGAGCTCTCATTATTAATGGACTCTATTAACAGCTTGCATGCGTCCCGTTTAAGCTACCCAATGTCTATTAGAGATAAAAGCTATTGCTATTTGAATTCTGAAGGTGAGAAAAATGAGGCTTAGAGAGGTTAATTGTTTACATCAGACTGGTATATCTAGCAAGTAGTGGAGGCAAGAGTTGAACTCAGCCAGTCTAACATCAGAGCTCTTCTATACCCCCTACAGGTTTAGGGATGGCCATCTAGCTATGCCTGATCCTCATTTCCTGCACGCCTCCATCCCTATAGCTGAAGCCCACTGGCTACCACTGACCAGCCTAAACCCATCCCTGGGGGCATTGCTGACCTTAGGGAATGTGGGCTGAAGGTCTCTATCTCCACAATTATCCCCATATTGTGGTAACATAGCTTCTGCCTTGCTCCTTGTGGTTTGATAGCCCAAATATTCCAACAGGACCTCTTATTCTTTCTAGTCTTATTAACCAGCTTCTCTAGTTCTGGATTTCTTCCTGTATTTTTCAGTTATTATACCCAAGGACTACAGGATGTGTTTGATTCCCAACCTGAAGGAAGGAACTGCAAGCTTGGTGACAACCCACTCTGATACCATGTACATGTGTTTTCTTTTATTGTTTTCTAATTCTTTGTTTAAAAGAGTACATAAAGTAGTAAATTCAATCAAAAAGAGAATAAAATTTAAGAAGAAAACAAATAAAAATTCCCTAAATCCCACCTACCACGCAATAACTATGGTTACATACATATCCTTAAAATTTTTTTTTCTTCTCTCTCACTTTGTTTCTCTCCTTTTTCTTTATATATGTTCATACTCATTGCCATCAAGTCATTTCCAACTCATAGCAATGCTATAGGACAGAGTAGAACTGCCTCATAGGGTTTCCAAGATTGTAATCTTTATGGAAGCAGAGTGCCGCTTCTTTCTCCTGCGGAGAGGCTGGTGGGTTCGAACTGTCAACCTTTCAGTTAGCAGCTGAGTGCTTAAGCGCTGTACCACCAGGGCTGCTTATATATGTTCATACGCATTCATAATTCTACATAAACAAAGTCTTTCTGTCCATGCTACTTAGCAATATTCTTTTTGCACTCAACATTATTCTGTGAACATCTTGGATACTAAAATATAAATAATATTTATATTCCTATATAACTTACTATATAATTTATATTACATTATTATATTAATACTATATTGTATTAAATTTCTATATAAATTAAATATATTAAATACTTATATTTAATAAAAATCCTAACTTTAAAAGCTGAGTGGTATAGTCCAATGAATGGATATTTCAAGATTCATTTAACCAATCATGTATTCATGGTTATATATGTTGTTTCTATATTTTTATCATTATGACCAGTGCTCTGATGAACATCTTTGCACCCCTGTGGTGCATTGCTTGTTCAATTATCTCATCAGATTAACGTGTAGAAGTGGATATACTAAGTTTAAACATGATACTTAAATTTTTGACACATTTCTACTTTTCAGCAGGAATTCTGTAAAACCAAGGTTCTTCTTGGTTTCACAGCAATTCTCCAGTCTAGTGCCATTATCTCCTCCAAAAATTGCAGGCTGATGCTTTGTCCCTCCACATTTGCCTAGTTAATACAAACTTGGAGTGGTCCACACTTCTCAAGACAGTTCTAAGAACTCCCACTTCAGAGACAAATCATGGACTGGAAGCCCACAGCTCTGCACTCAGCAGTTTTCTCTGTTACAGAATGATAACAGACTTGTGGCTCCTGATTCAGGACTCAGTGTAACTGCACAGTATTTGTTGAGAGCACTGTACATGTTAGACTGAGTGACACACCATGGAAATGTAGAGAATTGAAAATCATTACCTCAAAACTTGAAGGAAACCCAAGAGTTGTTTTGGAATCCCTTGGTGGTGCAAATGGTGAACATGCTTGGCTCCTAACTGAAAGGTTGGTGGTTTGAGTCCACCCAGCATCTTGGAAGAAAGGGATGGTGATCTACTTCTGAAAAATCAGCCACTGAAAACTCTATAGAGCAGAGTTCTACTCTGACATACCTGCGGTCGACATGAGTTGGAATTGACTTGACAGCAACTAGTTAAGGTTGTTTCACCCATTCTCTCATTTGGAAAATGAGAAAACTGAGGCCCAAAGAGGGGAATTAACTTACCAACTTATGCAGGCAGTCAGAAGCAGAGACAGGATGAGAATCTAGTATACTGGCTGTCTCTTCAAAAGCACATGATCTCTCCAAAAGTCATAAGCCAAGCCAAGGTGCCTACCTATTCTTGTCACCCAGTCCTGTGTGTTATGGCTGGTGGCCCAGCTGAACCCAGAGAGCTCTCAGCCAGAACCTCCCACTGGCTGTTCCCACCAGCACAACCTCACTGCTCTGCTCTCCAACCTCTGAGACTTCCTGTCCCTTTATCACACAGGATATGGCTTTTGCTGTACTTACAGATGGTTGACATATGAAATGTGCCTTTGCTTCCTCTTTCTAAATTTTGAGATCTGGAAAAATGACACGAAATAGAAGTAACATAAGAGGAAGAGCTACATGCAGACAAGCGAGTTGCACAGTCCCAGGGTAGAATCATTTTCTACCGATTTCTATGGGGCGTTGTGTAAGTCATCTAGTTCCTCTTAGCCTGAGTTTTCCATCTTAGAAGAGGGGTAGATAATAATTCCACTACAGCTGTTGGGAGAATTAAAAAGAAAGGATGTGAAGAGCCTACACAAAGTAGGCACTCAACGAACAATAAATATCGATAATAATAATATTAATTTTGCATGTGGAAGAATTTATTTATTTTCCCACTTCCCAGGCTCTTGGCAAACTGAAAACAATGTGTGGGGACTCACTATTTATTTCTTACTTCTTTTGGGGGCCTCTTCATTTTGTCTCTGGCTTCATAGCTTCTTAACTTTATACTTAATGTCCAGGCATATCTTTGGAGGATACCAGTGGATTGGAGCCAGAGGCAGAGCCTCATACTCTGGGCAGCATGGATTACTGAGGGGAAACAGTTGCCACTTTCCCATTCCTTGTTAGGCTCTTTGGAGGACAGCCTTTGCTTGGAATGGAAGGGATTAGGAAGACTCTGGGAACTGCAGCCTGGAAAAGCAACTGGTGGTACCATGTGCTCCAAACGGTCTCCATTTCCTGAAGGGTGGTAAATTTGGTTCCTGAGAGATGAGCAAACCTAAACCGAGGAGGTTTTAACAACTCATAGAGCACTTGGACAGAATTTCAGTCCAATCCTTTTATTTTCCAAGTGAGGCTAATATTGCTAAGAAAACTGCCCACGATCACACGTCAAGTCAGTAGAAGAAGTAGGAATAGAATTCAAGTCTCTTGCCACCCAGTCTTGGGCTTGCCTGGTGGCAACAGTCTGCCATCTTGTTATCATCTTAATTTTCACAATATCATGGCCAGGTCAAAACATCTCCCTGGTCCAAACTTTCCTCTGGGTCTGTAACCTGCTTTGACCAATTGCCAAAGAAGGACATTGGTCATATGGGCTTCTCTCATACCTCTTCTGAGTCTGAGAAGGAATTTGTGGCAAAATCAGTTAAATATCCAGTCAGTCTTGTCATATATATGCAGAATAATAACAAAATATCTTCAGAGTTGTTGTGAGGATTAAGCCAGATAAGATATACAAGTTTTCAACGTAGAGCCTGACACATATTAACGTTCAGGAAAATCTGTCTTCCTTGTCCAGCATCTTTTTTCACCCTTTTTCTAGAAAAGTGTATTTTACCTATAGACCGATGTCTGGTTTCTAGACTTAATCTTTCTACATTTACTGTAAATTTATCCTCCTCTGCATTGACTAAGTTTGTTTGGTGGCACAAATGATTTGCACTTGACTACTAACCTAAAAATTGGTGGTTTGAACCAGGGCTTTGAATCGGTTTGTTTTGGTTTGACGCCCTGCTGAGATTTTGCATTTCCACACCAGATATACTGAATCAGAATCTACATTTTAACAAGCTCCCCAGGTGATTCATAAGATATACATAAGAACTAGGTACTGGTACTGATGAAAAAACCAGAAAATAACAAAAGTTTTAGAGGCTACAGGGAGATAGGAACTCTTATGCACTGCTGGTAGGAATGCAAAATGGGACAACAATTTTGGAAGATGATATGGTACTTCCTTAAAAAACTAGAAATAGAAATACTGTGTGATCCAGGAATCCCACTCCTTGGAAAATATCCTAGAGAAACAAGAGCCGTCACACAAATAGACATATGCACACCCACGTTCATTGCAACATTATTCACAATAGCAAAAAGATGGAAACAATCTAAGTGCCTATCAATAGATGAATGGAAAAACAGACTATGGTACACACACACAATGGAATACTATGCAACAGTAAAGAACAATGATGAATCTGCAAAACATCTCACAACATGGATGAATCTGGAGGGCATTATGCTGAGTGAAATAAGGCAATCACAAAAGGACAAATACTATATGAGACCACCGTTATAAAAACTCATGAAAAGTTTTATACACAGAGAGAAACAATCTTTGATGGTTACAAGGCAGGGTGGAAAGGGAAAAACACTAACTAGATAATAGAAAACTGGTAACTTCGGTGAAGGGTAAGACATTACACAATACTGGGGAAGCCAGCACAACTTGTCCAAGGCAAGGTCATGGAAGCTCCACAGACACATCCAAACTTCCTTAGGGACCAAGTTACAGGGCTGAGGGCTGGGGACCATGGACCCAGGGGACATCTAGCTCTAATGGCATAACATAATTTATAAGGAAAATGTTCTACATCCTACTTTGATGAGTAGTCTGTGGGGCCTTAAAAGCTTGTGAGCAGCCTTCTAAGTTACGTCTACTGGTCCCACCTCATCTGGAGCCAGGGAGAATGAAGAAAACCAAAGATACAAAGGAAGGATTAGTGCAAAGGACTAATGGACCACAACTACCACAGCCTCTACTAGGCTGCAACCAGCACAACTAGATGGTGCCTGGCTACCACCAGCGATTGCTCTGACAAGGATCACAGTAGAGGGTCCCAGACAGAGCTGGAGAAAAATGTAGAACAAAAATTCTAACTTCACAAAAAAAGACAAGACTTGCTGGTCTGATGGAGACTAGAGAAACCCCAAGAGTATGGTCCCCAGCCACTCTTTTAACTCAGTACTGAAGTCACTGCTGAGGTTCACCTTTTAGTTAAAGATTAGACAAGCCTATAAAACAAACAATAAAACACGTAGCTCAGTCAGGTTTATGAGACTAAATGGGCACACCAGCCCAGGGGCAAGGATGAGAAGGCAAGAGGGGAGAGGAAAGCCGGATAAATGGCAATGGGGAACCCAAGGTTGAGAAGGTGAGAGTGTTGACAGGTCGCGGGGTTGGCAACCAATGTGACAAAACAATGTGTATTAATTGTTTAACGAGAAACTAATTTGATCCGTAAACCTTCACCTAAAGCACACACACACACACAAAAGAATCACCTGGGGATTTTGTTAAAATGTAGATTCTAATTCAGTATATCTGGGGAGGAAAGACAAATTCTCAGCAGGGGATTGAACCGAAATGAACCGGTTTGAAGCCCCGGTTTGAACCTACCCAGTGTTGTGGAAGAAAGTTCTGGCAATCTGCTTCCATAAAGATGACAGCCAGAAAACCCTGTGGAGCAGTTCTACTCGGTAACATATGGGGACGCCATGAGGTGGAACTGACTTGACAACAATGGGCTTGGTTTTTTTGGTTTGATGCATTGCCTGGAATATTCTTAGCCTTTTTCAAAGTGTCTTGGTGCTCTAGACTGGCAAGTGACTCATGGTGCTAAGCTTGCCTCAAGGGTGCGGATTAGGGATATCTCAATTCCTCACCTTCCCTACCCCTAAGCGACCAGGAAGTTATACAAATGGAAGTGCTTCTTAGAGCTCAGCAGACTGGCCTTGATGAAGGTGACTGAGATATTTTCTCTAGAAGCAGGGGATGATGGACCTGAGGCAACCCCTCAGGCAAAGAACGCTGACTAGGGATAAGGTTCAGGGTCTAACTGTCCAAGGAGCGGGGGCAGATTACCCAGTGTGCAAGGTAAGCACCCACCACTCATCTGTCAGTTTGTCATACTGTGGTGACTTGTGTGTTGCTGTGATGCTGGAAGCTATGCCACCGGTATTTCAAACATCAGCAGGGTCACCCATGGTGGACATGTTTCAGCGGAGCATCCAGAGTAAAGCAGACTAGGGAGAAGGATCTGGCAATCTATTCAAAAAAACTGGCCAGTGAAAATCTTATGAATAGCAGCGCAACATTGTTTGATAAGCAAAGATGTCACTTTAAGGACTAAAGTGCACCTGACCCAAGCCATAGTATTTTCAATCACCTCATTTGTATATGAAAGCGGGACAATGAATAAGGAAGACCAAAAAATTGATGCCTTTGAATTACGGTGCTGGCAAAGAATACTGAATGTACCACAGACTGCCAGAAGAATGAACAAATCTGTCTTGGAAGAAGTACAACCAGAATGCTCCTTAGAAGCGAGGATGGTGAAACTTCGTCTCACGTACCTTGGACATGTTATCAGGAGGGACCTGTCCCTGGAGAAGGACATCTTGCTTGGTAAAGTAGAGGGTCAGCAAAAAAGAGTAAGACCCTCATGAGATGGATTGACACAGTGGCTGCAACAATGAACTCAAACATGGCAATAGTTGTGAGGATGGCGCAGGACCAGGCAGGGTTTCATTTGGTTGTACATAGGGTCGCTATGAGTCGGAATCAACGAGATGGCACCTAACAACAACAACAACGAAGTAAACTTACTTGGTAATTTGTCCCTGTCAGGGATTGTAAACTTGTAAAGAGGCTTTGATTCTGTAGGAAGGTGCTGTGGGGTTGGGAGAAAGACAGTTGCCAGCCATACCTAGAAGCAGAACATTGGATGTGGTGAAAAAATGTGAAATTGTTCACTCTAGATGATCTGGTAAGCAAAGCAAGCATCGTGCTTACCTTGCCTATTGGATAATCCTCCCCTGCCAGGGAGAGATTCCTCAGGGCACATTTCACTGTCTGCCTTGATGTTTGATTTTGGTTATTTACTTATGGGGTTTTCTCCTTTCTTCTTAGAATCTCGGACCAGGACAGCAGAATTAAAGCTAAAGGAACGTTCCTCCAACCTCAGCATTTTAAAGGTCGGGAAACTAAAGCCCAGAGGTTACTCAGGGAATTAACTGAGGTATCTGTAGCCCTAGGACAGGCAATTTCCCATCTAGGTCTGTGGTATCCCCAACAATTTCATTTGAAGACAATTACTTGCCTGTACCTATGATGCACTTATGCTCAGTGTCACCATAAGATATTTTGATGCAGTTACA